CTTCCGTCTTTCTCTCTCCCTCTCCCCCTTTCTCGTTCTTCTTCTTTCTTTCTCCCCCCCCCTTCTTGCCCTCAAGGTTCGCCTCCTCTTTTCTCTCATTCCTTCTGCCTCCCTTCCCTCCTCTCTTCCCTAATTCTCCATACCCCTTCCCTCATCATTTCCCTTTGGTTATCATTCCTCTCCCTTTTCCCTTTCCTCTTTTTCTTTCCTTCTTCACTATCCTCCCTTGTCTCACCATTATTCTAACCTCTCCTCTTTTATTTCTTCTCCCTTATCCCTTCATCATTCCTGTTTCTTCCCCTCATCATTGCAATTTCCTCTCTTCTTTTTCTTCCCCTCATTCCTTCATCCTTCGAGTCTCTCCTCTTCTGTTTCTTCCCCTCATCATTGCAATTTCCCCTCTTCTTGTTCTCCCCCTTATCCCGTCATCATTCGAATCTCTTCTGTTTCTTCTCATCATTGCAATTTCCCCTCTTCTTTTTCTCCCCCTTATCCCGTCATCATTCGAATCTCTCCGCTTCTGTTTCTTCTCCTCATCATTGCAATTTCCCCTCTTCTTTTTCTCCCCCTTATCCCGTCACCCTTCGAGTCTCCCCTCTTCCCTTACTTCCCCTCCTCCTCCCCTTCGCCTTCCCCCCTTCGCTTTTTCTCGGCTCCTGGACATAAAGCAAGATCAAGTTTCTCGATGCCTCGCGCTGTGTCGAGCCCATTCCGAGGACCAGATTTGCGCCGACAGTATGAACGAAGCTCCCCTCACCCCTTCGCCTCTCTCCCCTCGCCTCTTCCCCTTTCTCAGTTCTCCCCCTTCCTTCCCTGTTCCGACTTCTTCCCCTCTCCCTCCCCCTCCAGTCTTCTTACTCCTCCTTCCTCCCTCTAGACTACTCCACCGCCTATCCCTGCCTCCCTCCCTCCCCCCTATTCCACCCCGCCTAGACTTCCACTTCCCTCCATTCTTCCCCGCCCGCGCCCTTGTTGCATCCTCTCTCCCCCACCCTTTCAACCCCCTCTCTCCTCCTCCCCTCTTTCCCCCCACTCCTCCCCCTCCTCCTCCCTCCACCCCCCTCCCCACTCTTCCCCCTTCTATCCGACTCCTCCTCTCTCCCTCCCTCCCTCCCAACGCCACTCTCACCCCTCCTCCTCCCTCCCCAACGCCACTCCCACTCCTCCTCCCTCCCTCCCCCCTCCTTGACCCCTATCCGGCCCCCAGCCCCCCCGGTCAAAGGAAAAAAAAGTATATATCTTCCGCAGCGGACGTTTCCTTTGAAGATATTAGTTTTACACGCCCGGCGAGAGATTTATTCATCTTGGTGTTTTGAGACGGTCTCCGCTTTGTCTTTTTTTTTTTTTTTTTTTTTTTTTTTTTTTTTTGCAGGCGGGGTGGGGGTGGGGGGCAAGGGAAATGTAGTGGTGGCCTGTGGTGGTTGGGAGGGGGGTAAGGGGAGGGCGGTAGTGGGCTGGGTGGAGGGGAGACGGGAGGTAGGGGGTAGTAATGAAATTGGTTGCATAAATCTGATGAAGGACTTTTGTCTGTATTTTTTTCATATATAAATAAATATACAACATGCGAACACGCAAGCAAACGCACACACACACACACCAGCAGATGACTCTATATTCGTCTCTCTCTCTTTCTCTATTTGTCAGTCTGCCTGTCTAACTGTCTGTTTTCCTCTCTGTCTGGCCGTTTGTCTGTCAGTCTGAGTGTCTGTAAGGCATTTTTACAGCCTTATGCAGTTACAAGGATAGATTGAAAGTAGGAAGGTTCAAGATCTTTGGAGATATGCTTGCGTACACATACACACATATATTCACACACACACACACACACACACACACACACACACACACACACACACACACACACACACACACAACACACACACACACACACACACACACACATACACACACACACACACACACACATACATACATATAAATATACATATAACATAAACATCCATCCATCCATCCCAATATCCATCCACCCATAAACAAATATAAACATATATAGACATACAAACGGAACACACGCTGCATCCTCACAAGAAACAAATCAAGAAAGTCTGAGCAACCCCCCACCCCCCACCCCGCCCCCCCAAATCTATTTCACAGAAACGACCATAACTCTAAAAGCCTGCAAGTGTAACGCCATCAAGTTGATTTCGTTCTCTGTATTGGATTCACATAAACGTGACTGGAAAAATAATCACTGGCAAAGTTGGTGTGATCCGGTGTCGTTCGGTCGATATTTGTCAGGGAAAAGAGAGAGAGAGAGAGAGTGAAAAGAGAGAGAGAGAGAGAGAGAGAGAGAGAGAGAGAGAGAGAGAGAGAGAGAGAGAGAGAGAGAGAGAGAGAGAGAGAGAGAGAGAGAGAGAGAGAGAGAGAGAGAGAGAGAGAGAGAGAGAGAGAGAGAGAGAGAGAGAGAGAGAGAGAGAGAGAGAGAGAGAGAGAGAGAGAGAGAGAGAGAGAGAGAGAGAAGAGAGAGAGAGAGAGGAGA